CGGTGGCAGGGCTGGCTGGGCCAGCGCCACTGTTCCAACGGCGGGATGCGCGGAAGCGCCCAGGAGTATCGGGACCAGTGGGGCTTGCGCCCGACGCAGTAGGGCTCCCGACCCGACGTGGATCGAAGGTGGGCGCGTGAACTCCTCCAACGCCTGCTCCTACTCCTTCCCCTGTCCCCCCGTGGGCGGCGAGGCGGCGTAATTCAGCCGCCAGACGCGCCTCGGGTCCGTCGGTGCTGTGGGGGGGGGGGGGGGGGGGGGGGTCTGGGACACCCGCGCGGTCACCTCCAAGGCTCCCCATGACATCGCCGAGCCCGCGCGCCGTCGGAGAGCTCGCACGCGGAGCCGCGAAGGATCCCTTACGGCGCATGCGCCGCGGGGGACCCATCGGGGCTGCGAGCGAGCTCGCGACGCAGGGTTCGGTGAATGGTGAGCTTTGAGGGCTGATAACCTGTGCATGGGGTTAGGGTACAAAGGTGCATAACCCCTGATCCGTGAGTAGAGGAAGGAGGGAAATATATAGATGTTTTGCTCCTGTGCGACCAACGTCCTGGTCTCTTCCAATACCTGAGCCGATAGGACAAGCAAAAGGGCGAGTGAGGTGTAGAGATGAGGGTATGAGACGGGTTCCTTTCACACCAAGAGGACCTCCAATGCTCCGAGGTGGCCTCCTTGGCGGCTCAAGGCAGCCGAGGATGGTTCAAGAAAGCTTCCGACATACCCCCCCCCCCCCCCCCCCCCCCCCCCCCAGGAGGCCTGAGGCCTGACGAGGGCCTGAAGAGGCCCGACGAGAGCCCTCATCAAGAACTCCGAGAGGCGCTAATCCTTCAAACGCCTCAAGAACATCAGTGTTTCTGCCTTCCCGTCTGTTCGCTTCCGACGCGCTTGCGATGGCCCCAAGATGGCCCAAGAGAGCCCGGAGAGGAGCCGACGGGGCCCCTCAAACGGCCCCGAGAGCGCACAAGAGCGGCCCAAAAGCGCCTCAAGAAACGATTTCGAGGGCTCTTGGAGGGGCGGCGATCGGGACCCCCCCTGCGATCGACGGCCTCCAAGTGCTTCGGGGGACCACCCAGGACTCCCAAGAGGGCCCCAAGACGGCCCCAAGAACGTCCCACGAGGGCCCTAAGAAGCACTTTGCCTCCTCCTCCTCCTGCTCCTCGATTCCTTTTCTTTATAGCTAGTTCCCCCCTGCCGCGCCCCGAGGCTGGTCGAGCGGCCGGGCCGGGCGCTTCGCCTGGCACTCCCTCGCGCATTAAAATCCTAAAGCTTGCAGCGCGCAATAACTTCAGAGGGCGGCCTGCTTTCAAAATGTGGCTCTCGCCTTACCGCCGCGATCACTTGTCCCAACAAATTGCAATAATTTCAAAGATGGACAGCGGTCCGTTCTGAAAACGTGGTTCTCGCCTGAATGCCGCGCACGTTCGTCTGAATAGTTTGCAACAGTTTCGAGGATTCTCATGGCAACGCCCCAGGAACTGCATTTTGGCACGACGTCGCAATGTCAGGGCGCCGCGGCCACGGTCACGCTGATTCGCGGCGCTGCAGCGGTGGTCTGGCGCGATTCAGGAGCGTTCAGACGCAACAGCGACGGTGATCCCAGTCCGGCAGGACTCCTGATGTTCATGCTGCTAATTTCGAACGGGGCATTCCCCTCAGTGAAAAATAAGCCCGTGCAGGAGCCTATGAAGAGGAAGTTTGGGGGGAGGGTTGATTGCAATGTCGTTGATTAAACTTGGGTTTACACTGGTCCTCTTCCTCCTCGCCCCCCTCGCCCCCCCTCGCCTCATCCTCCTCCTCTTCATCCGCTCGCCCCTCTCAAGTATCGGTTCGAAGCGTCTCCGTAGCCGGTGATTGGTATCCTGGCGACGTCTTGAATCGCGCCCTCCGCCTTCTCGCGGCGCTTGGGGCCTAAGGGTTGGAGCTCGGCGGCGGCGCGCAATTTGGGCCTCTTCTCCTTGTCGCGAGGATTGGCCAAGTGCTGGGCAGACTGGCTTTCAATGTGATTCCTGTTATTGCAATGGTGGTTCACATGTGCGCCTTCATAGTTGACGCTGTAGTTTTCCACTGTTGCACGAGGGTGTTGCATTCGCTTTGTTCTCGGGAGTTTAAGGCGTTGCCCTTTTTGTGCTGCGCCGCCTTCTTGGGGTGTTTTCTTCATGCACGTTTTCGTCGGCCTCCGCCCCAGGCGGCGGGTTGGGGCGGCTTCCCGGCGCCCTTTTGGCAATTGCCCGCCCGCCTGTCACCTGGGCGTATCACTGATGGGCAGCGCAGTGGCGGCCCGTCGGCATGTCCTCGGCTGCAATGTCGGCATGTGTGTGTTGTCTCTGTTCGTCTAAGGAAAAACGCTTGGGTTGTGCAGGCAGTGGGTCGTTTGGCTTTTGGCATGCTGGAGATGCAACCTTGCGTAAGGTGTTGGTCTGGGGTGCCTGCGGTTGCAGGGCCTCGCCATCCCGCTCGGCGCTCCACACCATTGCGCGCTCAATTGGTTCAGTTGTGTGTCTCCCTGTGCGGCATGGCTTCTTCCGCGGAGTAAATGAACATTATTATATGAAGGGGTGCCCAGGCTGGCACCTGTGCGTTCCGCCCAGCTCCGGCGGAAGAGCCCTGCCCGGAAGCCAACCAGAAAGAGACCGGCACGGCGACATCAAGCGGAGGAGCAGTCAGAGAAACACCCACAAGGGGGAGAGGGTAGGGGGCGGGGAGGGGGTAAGAGGAAGAAAGGCCCGCCGCGACCTCCATGCCCCTCGCGGGGGAGTATAAGCTGGGCGCGACGGCTGCAGGTGCGACCGCGCGCGAGAGCCGCGCGGGGGCGCGATGGGCCTGCTTGCCACCAACATGCCAATCGCTCGGAGGTCACGGGCCGCTTCCCTCCCGTGGTTTTCCACCGCCGCGGTGCTCGTCTTCCGCCTCTTCTCCGTGTCCGCCCAGTTCTTGTTTGGCGTGTCCTCCGTTCTTGTCTCCACTGCTGTCCTTTGCCTCTGCCTTTGCCCCCCTTTCCTCGCGCTTTTCCTCCTTTGTCTCGTGCATGCACCTTCTCCAGCCTCTTCCTCGCAGAAGACGGCGCTTGCCGCCGATTCCTGTTCGCGCGTGAATTTCGCGCATAGGAACTCGCCCATGAGCACGCACAGCTCCCCCAGCAGCATGGCAGCACTGCCGAGAGGATTGGCCACCTCCAACTCTGGCGCCTGGCTGCATGTCTCTCCTGCGGTGAACGTTGCAGCCGACATGCCTACGACCGACGCCGAGAGGGGCGTCGGCTCGATAATGCTGAGCTTCGCGCTGATGCAGGGGAGGCAGCGGCAGTGCCCATGAAGGGAAGCACCAGCCATAATGATGTGTCCCACCCCTTCAAAACCAAGGAAACGTTTCATCTACAAGGCTCATTCTCCCGCCAGGACCGGTGAGAGGCGCGCGCACATAACGAGAGGTTCAGGCGCTGGCCACCAGATCGACAAGGAGCAGCACAAAGAGCAGGATGGCGCGCGGGCGGGGGGCTTGAGCATCGATTGCCGCATGCGGTGGGCGGCCACAAGACGGGGTGCACATGCAAACTCGCGTGGAACACTGCAATCTGCCCCACCCCTTCGAAACCAGAGAAACCGATGATCTGCAAGGCTCATTCCTCTGCCAAGACCGGCGAGAGGCACGCGCGCAGAACGAGGAGTACAGGCGCCGGCCACCAGATCCATGTTGACAGAGTAGAGCCATGACTATTTGTCCTCTGGCCCGAAGGGCCGCATGAAACGAAAAACACTTGGATTGTTAAATGTGGCGAGAGAGACGGCGAGCTTTCAGCGAGACGAGAGCTTCAGAGAAGGCGACCGCCAAAGCGCGACAATGCCGAAGGGGGGCGGGGCTCAGCCAGAAGTCCAAAAACGCCCCTCCGAGTCTTTACCCTGGATGTTCGGCGCAGCCTCTGGGAGGCCAAGCACAGGTTGTTCTTGCGCTTGCAGGGCTTCCCCACCGAGGTCGGCCAGGGCGCCGAAAAATTCCGCGCGCCTCTTCCGCGGCGCCCCGAACTGGCAAAAAGCGGTCGATATTACTTGCGAACGTGAATTGCGAGCGAGAGACAGAACAGCGGGTGCAGGCCAGATCCCACTGGCGGCGGGGATATCCATCGCCCCAGAGATCCCCGTCCTTCTGCGCGCGTGAAGGCGCGATACAATGAACGACGTCAATGAGTTGCCAACATTAACGCGCGACTGATCATTCTCCGACAGCCCCTCCAGCCCCATCGCATGATCGTTCGATCGCAGAGGCGGGTCTGCCACGAGACCCGGAGGGGCAAGGGGCACCGAAGTGCACGGCGAGCATGGCCCGTCCGAGTATCCATCCGCGAACAAGTGAGCGTTAGGAGGGATCGGTCAGGTCGCGCGGATCGCCGAACAGGACGCCCCAGGCTAAGACATGGAAGCCTTGCGCAGCCGTAGCACGCCCCGGCCGAGCCGTTCCAGCAAACGCATCCAGAAACACCCGCAACCACAAAGGCCGCGAAACCCGCGCGGCTGCAGCGACCCGTAGAGCGCCGCGGGGAACCACTTGAGGCACTATCGCGCGCGGGTCTGGAGGCGCGTCGGCAGCTTGGCGAACACGCTGCCCAATCGACCGCCCTTCCCGTACCTCCGCGCGCTGGCGTCCGTGCGCCAACGCCCTCGGCGCTTCGCGCCCAGCGAAGTCGCGGCTCGCGCCCGAGTGCCTCAAGACGTGCGGCGGCGGGGGCCGTTGCAGCAACGGCCAGGCGCCTGACGCTTTGAAGAAGCGCGCGAACTCGCCCCGGGTGAACGAGAACAGCGGCTCCTGCGGCCCTCAACTTCGATGGGCCGCATGCGCAGCGGCCCCAACGACTGGTCGCCGGCGAGGTCCAGCAGCAGCGACTCGTCGAACTCCCCCGTCTTGCTCGGCAGGCTGGCCTCGTCCTCCAAAGGGTAGGAGACAAGGCCCCAGTGCGCCAGCCCTCGGCTGCCCCCCGCGGCGGGCGGCGCCAGGTGCTCCACTCCGACGGTCTCCCAGTTGCCTGGCCGCGTGAGGAACGCGAGTGGCAGCGTCGCGCACATTGCCATGTCCCAGCGATTGGCCGCCATCAGCTCCACTGCGATGGCGAACACCACCTCGGCTGGGAGCGGCAAGCGTCTGGCTGCTAGGGTCAGGTTGCGCCGCGCCTTCAACGCCTGCCGCGCCTGGGCGAGCAAGCGGGGGCCCCCCTTTGCCCAGGCGAGGATCGGCCGCGGCCGGGGCTGCCATCGGGTTCGCCCCTCGCCAGTGGTCGAATCCCTCCAGGTACTGCTCGGTCACCCACTCGGTCACGCCGAGGTCGAGGAGGCCCGGCGCGCCAGCATCCAGGGGGGCGCTCGGGCGCGGCCTGGCAGAGAGGCCGTGGAGCTCCAGCCGCTGGTCCAGCTCGCTGAGGAACTCCGGCATCGCCGCCGAGCCGCTGCGGCGCGCGCCGGGCGGCCCTGCAGGCACCACTCGCGCTCCGCGCCCGTGGCCAGCGGCGCCCTGCGGGCAGCTCTCGCCCGCGGCGCTGTCGCCGACGTTGACGCGGCGAAGATGGCAGCCTTCAGGTGAGCCAAGCGCGCGCTGGGCCGCAACCACAGTAGCGGCCTCGCCCGTCGAAGTGATAGCCTCCGCGCGGAGCCGCCAGCCCATCGCGCGCAGCTGCCAGGGGTCGAGGTCGCCGATGATACGCTCGCAGCCGCTGGCCAGCGCGGCACGCGCCGAGGCCTCAGGCCTGGCGCCTGCGGCCCCGAGGGCGGAGGCGAGGGCCTGCGCGGCGTCGGCGACTGCGAAGCGCCACCGCTCCTGCTGGCGCCCCCGCGCCCGCGCCTGTTCGGGGCCGAGGTGCTTCCGGGCCGCGCCGAAGCCCCCGTTGTCGACCAGGTTGGGCCCAGGCCAGCGGCAGCAGCGCCACCGTCCAGCCCAACTCCCGTCGGACGGAGGCCCAGGGCGGGATCCGCTCGTCGCCAGCCCGCTCCAAGAACTTGTAGGAAACGCGCGGCAGCGAGAGCGAGCGCCTGCGAGGGGTGGCACACCATGCGCTGCGCGCCATCAGCGAGCGCAGCTCGGGGCCGCTGGCCCGCCCCACCGCCAGCGCGCGGGCCAGCGCGAGCTTGACCTTCCAGCGCCTGGCGCGGCCGGCCGAGATCCTGCCTCGCGATCGGCGGTGGTCCGATCCCGCGAAGCGGGCGACGTCGGGACCGTGCTCGATCGACTTGCAGCCCAGCCCGTCGGAGAGGAGCTGCGCGTAGACGGCGTCGGCAGTGACTGCGACGCGGTCCTCGCGCGCGCGAGCCACCCCAGCGTCGCCCGCGTAGACTGCCGCCCCGACGTTGGAGCCTCGGGGGCCAGGCGCGTGTCCAAGAACGACTGCTCAGTTGGGGTGCCTACCTTCTGCGCGGAGGCGGTCGCCACCTGCCGGCAGATGCGCGGCGCCCTGGGCCAGCCCATGGCCATGACCTCCAAGCGCGGGCTGAACCAGTCGTCCAGGCCCTGCTCTAGACGAAGGCGCGAGGCCACGCCGAAGTCGGCTCGAGGCCCGAGCTAAAACAAAATGATACGAGACCCCAGGCGTGGCACGAAAGCGGTAGAAGGCGCGCTCTACGTCCATCTGTCAAAAGACCAACTCATCCTCAGGCTGGAGCCCGACACTGGACCACGCACCACGCGTGGGCAAGGCGGCGTGCTCAGTCAGTCGCCATGAACCGAGCATTCACCAGCCTCGTGCCCAGGATCATCCGCTGCACCCCGTTTCTTCCTGCGCACGAAAAAGAAGCCAACCGTCGACGGCTGGCACCTGCGCAGCGAGACGAGGCCGAGGGAGTGCATCTGCAACACAAGCTTGGCATACATCATCTCATCTCTGATCAACGTGGGATCTGAGTAAAGTTTAGCAGGAAGTCCTGCACCAGCAGGCTCGTCCGCTCCACTCCACACGAGTGTCTCGACGCACTTGTTCCAGATGCATAAGGCGCCTCCGCGAAGAACCCGAGCTCGAGCTCCGTCGGCAATGCCGGCCCGAGAGGGCAACAATGCCAAATCAAACTGGACGGCAGCGCGGGGATCAGCGTCATCGCATCCCGCCCTGGCGCCGCAAAGCTCTTAGAAAGCCCCCGCGGCCGCGCAAGGTGGAGGCGGCGCCGCTCGGAAGATGTCGGCCAGAACACCGTGGCCTCAGCCCGGGCCCGCGAGAGCCCGAGTGCAACTCCTGGCCGAGGCCACACACCGCACAAGTCGCTAGTGCTGTCCACCGGTGAATTCACTGCTGTTTGCCAACGCACCGTGGCACGCAGCTGGCGTCGAACTGATCGTGATAAGCCAGAAATGTCAGAATTGCCGTGCAACGCGTCACGGAAAGGCGGCGGCGTCGGAAGGAGCTCCCGCGCCACCGGCAGCATCCCTGAGTCCGCGGTCGGGCGGGCAGACCGACCCCCGTAGAGGTCATGACCCCTTGGCGGCGCCCTGGGCCGCCGCTGCCCGCTTCGCCTTGGCACCCTTGGACTTCGCCTTCGCCTCTGCCCTGGCGGGGTCCTGCACAGCCTGACGCGCGGCACCCACGAGACCCCCCAGCGCGTCAGCCCCAGCCGGCATGGCAGCGAAGGCGGCCTGGCTGGACGCCGCCGACGGCCGCGAGTGCGAAAGCTGCCGTACCTCCCAGAGCGCGCGGTGCTCCTTGGCCACAGTGCTCTCGCAGTGGAGCTCGGCGGCAACGTACTCCTCGAGGGCCCGGCACAGCATGACCTGGCCTTGCGTCTCGCCGAGGCCGAAGTACAGGAACTCATTGTTGGCAAGGTCGTCGCCGAAGTCGTCGGGGCGAAAGAGGTGGCGACGGTAGCGGAACTCCGCCAGTTGCGCACGCCTCATGAAGAGCTCGGCCACCACCAACTCGGGCGCATTCAGGTGATCGAAATTCACCATGTGTTCGAGACCCTTCATGGCCGTCTCATGGTCACACACTCCAGGGTCGCCACTCGTCAATCTGCAGGTGTGCTTCTACCATGTATGACGAGCTCTCGGATGCCCGTTCGTCTGAAGGATGAACATGAGGCGCCACATGACCGTGCGGACCCCGTGAGGGGCCAGGTGTCCCAGACCGTCTCCGTACATGACTCGATGGCCTGCTTCACCTCCTCGTGCCTCTTCCCAAACTCATCCCGCGAGATCTCGAGGATCCGGGCATCCAGCTCGGGCGAGTCGGCGTCGTCGCTGCCATCGAAATCAACCAGCATCATGGGGACCCCTTAGCGACAGACCACCGCCACGCCAGGGGTGCACAGGTACTTGTCCGAGTCCTTGCCTGCGAACTCGGAGCCACACAGACCCGTCGCAGACACGGAGCGCCAGGAGCCCTTCTCACCGGGCAAAACCCCGATGCCAAGGCTGAGAGAAACCTGCTTGGCGAAGTCCAACACCTCCGACTCCTCCACGCTGAGGGCAGGCCGATCGGCCCCGCCGGGCCTGATGAAGCCGACGGGAGGAGGTAGAGGCGCCGCCACCACAGCGGCATCCCCAGCAGCTGCCTCACGAGGGGGAAGACGCCGAGGAGGAGCACCAACCCGGAACTCCGCCTGACAGGCCCGCATCGCCTCGGCGAACGCCGCGGGCGTCGGCAGAGGTGAGAAACCGTACACCCGGTTCAAGTGTGAGAGACGGCCGAGACCTGATTCCAGGACAGGCCGTGCCGTCCGGCCGAGTGCCCATCAGCGCGTGCAGCGGCGGGACGGCCAGCTCCTCGGGATAAACGTCGAAGTCCGGCGTCGTGATCCAGTAGATCGAGACCGTGTCGGTGTACGGGTCCCCGCCATTGCGCGTGAGTACGTGGCTCGAGAGCACTCGGCGAGGACGATCCTCCTCATCCAGCGCTGGGAATCCTCCTCGTACTTCACCTGGACCTCGCTGCCGATGCTCAGGTACTGAGCGTCGAGGAGTTCGGTCATACTCACAGTCACGTCGTCCACCGCACTTCAGCACCAGCAGCACCGTGAGGGCCCCCACCACGAAGCCCAGCGGGAAGCAGTACCTGTAGATCCAGGATGGTTCGCCCAGCACCTTTGACTGGACTGAGCACGTGAAAGCCCGCTCCGCGAGCGGCCCGAGAGCTGGCCCGATGGCACCGACAGCCTGGGAGAGACCAGAGAGGACACCCATGGATTTGGGGCGCCGCCAAAATTGCACTTGGCCCGCGTTCGCGGCGGCCGAGAGGGCAGGGAAGCAGGTTCGGAGAACAAGTGTATATCTGCCTTCTCGCCTCTTCGCTCTCGATCGGTTTTTGAGGGTGGCGGGTTCTGGAAACCCTGGATCCAACAAACATGCATCTCGGCTACACGCAAGATTGGCCCTAGGAAAGAGTGACCCTTGGTGCGCGGCTTTGAGCGGGGGCGCGGGAACACCAAATCCGAGCGCGCAAGCCGCTGCTATCGAATCATGTTCGGCCATCTGGGGGCCCCAGTGTACCCGCACCGAAGGCCACTTCGGCGAAAGGTCACTCCTACGCGCAGCCGAGACCTGCACCCAAAAACCTGAGCAACTCTCGGCGGCGAGCCCAGGGGGGGGGAGAAAGAGGGGGAAGACCTTCTCAGAAGGCGGCGGGACTTCGCAGAAGCCCTCTGGCCTTCTGATTGGATTTCTGAGCCTTCCCCGGGGGGGCTGCCAAGCCTTCTGAGAAGGCCCACCCCTTCTTACTTCCCCCCGGGCTCGCCGCCGAATCCAAAAACATCAGCATCTCTCTGGTGCGCAAAAATGGTCCTTCCGCTGGCTGCCGCCAGCCTCCACCAGTGGAGCCGCCCCAATTATTTGTTCACGCTGGCCTTCCCGCTGGCCGTCCGCCAGGACAGAGGTGCCAATTATCCTTCGATCCTCGAGGGCAAGGTCCTCTCTGGAACGCTGCAACTGTGCCCACTTAAGTTCTTGTGTTTGATGGCCCAAAAGGGGGTCCAGCTGAAAGGGGGTGGTGCAATCGGTTTGGGGCAATTTTGTTGCAAATGTACTGCGCAAGAAAATTGGATTGCATAGCATTGCAACTAAAGTATTGCACGCGCAAGCCCAGCAATACATTTGCGCACCGGAATGAATTGCACGCCCCAGATCTATTACAACCCCGAAAATGAATTGCACTAGATCTATTACAACCCTTGTCGCTGGACCCCCTTTCGAGTCAATCAGAGCTCTCTGCTAAGACGAAGCCAGGACGAGGATAACATCGGATGTGGATGAAGCAAGAGTCTCTGAGTTCCGGCGGCTCTAGAGAATGTCTCGGGCGCCGCGGACTTCTGAGAACGTCCAAACACGCTCTGGAACGGATTTATCCCCGTCCTAGCCCCGACCGATTTGCCCTCCTGCAACCGGGGAGCCGGCATTGGAATGCAGAGGCTAGGGTGAGCCCGTGGGTCAAATCCATGGCAGGCATATGGATGTCCACGATACCAAAGAGCAATATTTTTTCTCCAGGCTCGATCAGGCTTGGCCAACGAGTTCACGCCGAGGGTCGGCAGAGTCCTCGGCGAGCCCAGTAAGCTCTGGAGCGCCCCAGATGGGTCCGAAATCGCCCAAGAGAGCCCCGACAGGACCGCGAAGGGCTCCGAGATGGCGCCAAAAGCGTCCCAGGAGGGTTCCTCGAGACGGGCACCGCCGAGGCGAGGCGGATTCAGGACCCCCCCTTCGGTCAACGTCCTCTGGGGTGGCCCGAGAGGACCCCAGAGACCCCCAAGGAGGGCTTCAAGAGAGCCCCACAGGCATCGAAAGTTCCTCCAGGGGGGCTTCAAGCTGGCCCAAATCACCTCCCGAAAAATTCCCACAACCGAAAGTCCGCGAGTGCACTTATCCTAGACACCCGTGTCTGGTCAGGCTAATCCTGAGCTTCGGTTTGACTTCTGGCCCCACTCTTTGTTCCACGGATTGATCCTACACTTCCCTGATCAAGCCTGCTCGCCTCTGCATCGTTTCTAGATGTACTGGTGGGGATGTTTTGTTCGCGAGCGCAAACGGAAGGGCCGCGCGCCGTCTAAAGCTATAGCCGACAAGCAGGAACCTAAATTGCACGCGGGAGAGAGGAAAAGAGAGACAACAAGAAAGCAGCCGCAAGAGACTGGTGGGGATACTTGTTTTTCGCAACAGCAGGCGAGGGCGCCAGCGGCGAGTAAGGTCCGAGCGGGCCGCGCAAGAGAAAAGACTGGTGGGGATACTTTTTGATCTGCGGTTCCAAGGACGATTCCAGAGAGCGGGTCGAAACAAGCTTGGGGCAGCAAGCAAGATAATTGCCAGCGGGCCAAAAACCAACGCCGGAATGCACATGCGAGGAACAAAATGAACCTCATTAAGCCGCTCCAAAACGGCAGCCAACGACTGACAGCGGGGCGTCGCACAGTGGCGCCAGCACCCGGCAGACCGGACGGCGAAGGGCAGGGCACAGCGGGCTGCTGGTGGGGATACGCGAAGCGTAAGCAATTGTTTGTGGATTTCCCGCGCCCTGGGCTTTGCCTCTGCGGGCCCCGCGAGCTCAAAACGAGCCCCCAGAGGGCGCTCAACCTTGAAAGCCCGCACAGGCACTCCCGCCGCGTCGAGGCGGTGGGAACCTACCTGAACCAGTTGCCGCCGCATTGAGGCGACGTGGACCCTTCCGAACATCTCCTGTCCCACGCAAGCCGGAGGCAAGATGAGGAATTATCTGTATGAGGACAATACTAGAAACGCTGTAATAAAGACCTAAATGAGGAACGAGGCCCCATGTTTCCATCAGTTTTCGGGGGTAAAAAAAAAAAACAAAAAACACGACTTCCCACAGAACACCGAAGGGCAACCTATGATAAACTGTAGAACAATGAAAGAGCCCCGCCCCAACGACTAATACTCCTTCTTCAACGACCATACTACAATCGGAACCTCTGAGAGCCAGCACGTCTGGAGGATGTACGGGAAGCCGCGGCCTGCTCCAGAGGACTCTGGAACGCTCTGAGAGCGTTCACGAACGCTTTGGAGCGATGTGCAATCGTACCTAGGACAAAAGAACGTCCTTCAAGAACATGAGACCCTCCGCCAGCCAAAACACACTGAACATCAAAGGGTATCCGTCGCAGGATGCACAATAATATCCAACGAGCACGAAGAACATCAGGGTATCCTCCCCGAACTGACCTCGATCTTATACCTCGGTCCGACCGTATCCTCATCCTAAAGCTGGAGCGATGTACCCTCAGACCTGCCTGACCCGTGCCGCCCACCCCCACCCCTCGGGGCCTTCGCAATGTGCTCCGCAGACACCATCGCCCCGATGCTCTCCATTCTGGCTGCAGCA